ATATATTATGGTTATTTTACATATTGTTCTATATTACGTGTATTGTATACATTTTGGCATCTTCGAATATTATAAACGGATAAAAATCTGCGTTCTAAACTAATCATGATAAACTAAATAAACAGAAATGAGAAAAGAACAATAATTGCTGTCTATGAGTACACAATGGAGATCTCGAAACGAAGCTGGCCAACGTTCATTTGCCTTTGGGGCGAGCCAGCGGCCAGCGGTGGATCTCATCTGAAAATAATCCAAACGTCCCGTTCATCATGTTCATCCTGCCAATAAATAAAATCGTCAAAAAGGTGTCACATAAATCGCGCGAATACACACGGTGCCCGGAGGACATATTTCACCTGGAGGGCGCGCGCGAGAGATTTAAGCGCCACCGGTGACACCAGCGCGAAACAGATATTTCCGGGGCCGATTTGTTCTTGGTTACGCGTAACCAAGGATCAATCTATTAATCGTTCGTTGATCGCGTAGCTGTTGGTTAAAGAGCAGAGTCTTGCTTGATTCTCGGCTCTCGAAATACGTATCCGGCCCCAGAGACGGTCGTGCGACGTTTTACGATCGTAAACGGCGCGTAGGAGGCCGGGAGAGGAACACAGCGGCAGAAAATACTAGGGCGACGACGAGGAACGTCGAATACTTTTCCTCTTTCCCCCTTTACGCCCTCCCGGTTCTACCACTGTCTTGTGAGAGACAACTGAGCGGCGAATACTCGTATTCGTGATCGTAAAATTAGAAACACCGCGGCGCTCGGCGAGGCGCCAGTTTCTTGGTCGCTCCAATTCGCTCTTTGACATTTTCGATGATAACGATGGGGGATCTTACCCATTTTGAAAATTCTCGTCGCCGTTTGTCGCTGCGTTGGAATTCTTATTTTCGAAGCTTGATATATGGACGTGTACGTGACTCTGTTCTTTTTTTCGTGGCGCCGCGCCCCGAGCGTCTTTTTTTAGGTTAGCTTCGCATAAAGAGGCTTCGTATAATAACTTGATTGCGATGTGTCGAACGCCAGATCATGGAACGTCGATTTTTGACCTGAATTGATTGCCGGACATCGAAATCTTCCTTATGGTAGGATTATACTTATTATTTGATACTTTGTCAGCACGTAGGAATTATCTGTTTCAATTTTTGTACATGGTAAATAAAATGGTTATCGGTTATTGGAAATAAAGATACGATAGGTGTAATTTACATAAAATATTTTGTACGGTACATTTTGGGACATGGACTTTACGCGAAATTTGGATTAAAAATAACGAAGATCATACATATTTATTTTAGGACCAGGCTTAAGGTTCGATTTATTTCTATTATTAAAAAAGTTCTTTGAAAATTTGTTTTTCAAGCTTCTTGTATATAGATGTCATATCACGTGTGCGAAATAAATTGTGAAATATATACATAAACGTGTGTAACGCACGTTACTAAAAAAGCATATTACGAATTGAAAATATAAGCTTTTATTTTAACCCAAAACAACAAAATTCCTTATTTTTAACATTCTTGAATTTATTTATTTGTAAATTTTTTCTAATTCTTCTTTAAATCGGCACATTAATACATTAGTCAATAAATATACGTTTATAACATAGAAATTGTTGGAATATTATTTTGAATACATAATTACTTTAAACACGGTTGTCTGAATCATTAATTAGCCTATCAAAATACGCAACATTCTTTCAAAATCGTACAACACGTTATCACGAAAGTATTTTACAAATGCAACGCAACTGTTCAACATATTTGATGATACATCATGCATGATTATAACCTTTATCTCACACGTGCTCGATTCGTAACGTGTGCAAAAATGAAACTATAATTACCAACGTAACAAAACATTCCAGCGTGAAAAAGTATCGAAAGAGTAAAAAATGAATTGGGCCGATCGCGTGCTGCTTCGCGTTTCACCAGGTATTAATTTACAGGCCAGTGCATTCGGTTGAGCCCATAGAAATTTGCACAATAAATCTCTTATCGCGAAAGACAGACCGGCCTACCGGGCGACGATCGTCGCCGGTATGCGGTCGATATCTTAAGAACAGTAATTTTAGCCTCTGCTTTACGATAGTCTTTTGCCTTCTGCGTCGTGGCGGCTACTATTTATCGGGCTCCATTGTTCGGCGTAGAAAGTCCCGCTGGTGGATAATCACTTCTAATTATCACCGGTCCAGAAGCACGATCGTGATAATCGTATTTCCTGAAAATAAACCTGTACACATCGAAACCGAAGCGGTCACGCTGGATTTCACCCGGAAATATTTTCCGCGTCGCCGTGGATTCGCGATTTTCTTCCGAATGGCAAACGTTTGCGATCCGGTATGCATATTATTGCATATAAACTCGTGTCTACCAACCGATACTGTTGAAATTGTAGCCGTATAAAACTTGTCAGGCCGATTACAGCCACGCCACGGATATACTTTTATTAATAAGATTGCACATAAAATTACTTATACGACTGAAATGTTAATAAACAAACAGTTGCATAGTATTTTTTCAAATAATTTGTGTATTACTAGATGAAGCCAGCTCAAGTGCTCTGTGATTTGAGGTTATGATAATGAGTAAGAATTCCGATTAGTGAATAAAATCATCTTGGATAAGTGGTTAAAGATTTTAATATCGTTAATTCGTTATCAGTGAACAGTTATTTTTAGATATATTCTGTTGCTAAAAGCAATCATTAAATGAATTCATTATCGAAATCTGAACTTTTCCTTTTCATATCATGTTACGCGTTAAGTAACAGTAACACTGGAATATTATTTGTTCTTAATCTATATTACATATAATTTTATTACAAGTCCCAATAAGAATATCTGAAAAATATTTAAAGCAAATAAAAAACTGTTACCATTAGCGTAACATAATATGTAAAACCGGATATGGTAAAGCAATCAATAAGCACCTAAATCGCGACGCGATTAGAAAACCACAAAGCGACGTGTGTTCACAAGGGAGTGTTACATGCGCCGATCGGATCAAGTTTCTCCCATGCTACGCTTGTTAACAATTAATTTTATCGTTGTCGTGGGAACACAGTCGCGCATGGTAGTTCGAAAATCCACGAGCATAAAACGGCAAAGTAATGTCGGCCAGTTGGTAACCAATGGTTAAAGAAAGAACCATGTAAATGGTGGTCTCTAACGAAGCAATAGGTTGCCTTCGTATGTAATAAATACGGTTTGCTGGACACAGCAATAAACACAAGCCTAATTGCTACATTCGCGTTCTCCTGGAACCAACCGAACCGATTTGCATTTTACTATAATTATAATTCCGCTCTGTACGTCAACTATGTCGATTAGCGTAGTGTCACATGGTACTCTACTTTTTCGTGGCCCATGACCGTGGCGCCATGTTACCGACTGTTTGTCCAAAGATTGTGGAACAAGTGTATCGGCTGCAGATTAACAGTGTTTCAAAAGCTTGTTAGGCGACCTCGTAAATTCGCCGTGTTCCGTGTAGGAACTTAATTAGACGTTTTTCCCTCTGTTTTATGGTTAAGTTAGACATTAAACTGGCGCCTGTTCGCTGCTCGTGATTGCGTATGCTTAATAGGATCGTTAGAAGTGAATGTTGCTGCTCGGAATACGTTTTACCCGGCAGGATCTTTCAACGTATTAAATATCGCGATAAGTTGCGTTAGATTTTCGCTAGCACCGGAGATATTACACCGTGCCTTTTCGTTTTCATAACCGGAAACTATATACATGTTTTATCGAAACATAAATTGTTTGATCAATACATATATGTAATATGCGACTATAATACTGTGTACAATTAAGGATACAAGAAAGTAAGCATGTTTAGTTCATACATGAGAAGTGTTTTCTTAACACATTATGTGTTTCATAATACGAATTTGTAATTTCTAATTATTATTAACTTTTTATACTTTCAGCTTTGCAATCGAAGATGTAAGAAGTGAGAAAATCGTATTAATTTAGGGAATTCTAATTTGAAATACACGGTTTGTATTCGCGTACCAATGAGTGT